TTCGCATACGCTGGCTCTTATTTTGCGCATAACAAACTGTAGAATTTTTACATGAAGCAAATTTGCTCATATTCAAGGTTATGTACAACAAAAGTCTCTGCACAGCTCCAGCATCCCCTTAATATTAATAATAATATTTTTATAATAATATATATGTACATGTTTATTATATTCATCAAACAATATTATTATACTTACCATTTCGATATCCATTCAAATCTTTATCGCTCGCTAATATCGCTTGTAGTTGGAAAAATCGAACTACATTTCACGTCGCTAGCGACTTACATGACGTCATCACATCGCAGAAAACGAGCGTCGAGCGACAGCATGAAAAGGTACCTTTAATGCAAGATATAAGGTTTGTTCGCGTCGCATGCCCCAACATGCTCCTTCTTACTCCAATGCGCTCGTATTGGTGCGCTCTTCGAATTGGACCAATACGAGCGCATTGAAGTAAAAAAAGCAAGTTGGGGCATGCGACGCGAACAAACCTATAGCGTTTTCGATTGGGGTGCACTGGCTGCATTGAATGTCAGGCGCGTGTTCGATTGGTAGTGCCAATGCGCACTTGGCTAGTGTTGCGTGTTCGTTTGAACGCACAACACTCGCATAGTGCGCACTCAGTGCGCACTAAGTGGCACGAGATATTTTGACGGTGCCAGTTCAGTGCACTGGATGCATGCAAGCAGTAGAGCATTCTTTTGAACGAAAATTCGACATAATGAGCAATTCGGATTTGGCTCTCTTTAATATTTTGGAGACATTTTTGGAATCTTCTTCTAGTTCAAGCGAGCAAGAAGAAATAATTACAACTCTTCGAACTAGAAGAATAATTCCAAAAACTGTAAATTATGTAGAATGTGTGAAAAAAATGGATAATGACACCGTAAGTGTTATATCTTTTTATATAAACATTGAACCTATACCCTTTTTTAAAATATAATTAATGTACTTAATGTAATAGCATTTTTATACTGAATAATAATAATTTTTATATTTGTCATACGTGATATTCTTGATCATCTTCTATATTTAATTACATATAATAAAAATCATTACTTAACTGAACACAAGATGTCGAGGTTACTTTTTCGTTCTTCCCGGAATCTAGTCAACTCAAGTGGCACTGAAAATTTCGGCGTGTTCTTTTTCACCTGCACTATTCAGTGCAACCCATGGAACTTGTCCAGTGTTAGTGTGAACTGAGTGCGCACTGGTGCGCACCGAAAACTCGTTGAGTTTAGATGGCACTGTCCGAGTGCACTAAAAGTGCGAATTTCTTGCGCTTCCAGCTAAACATACTGGTATACTCTCAGTGCAGTTCTGTGCATATTTGTCGCCCTGAATATGGAAGGATTTAACATTAATTTTAAGGTCAATAATGACCTATTGAACTTAACTCTCGATCCAAGCGAACAAGAGTTAAATTATAAGGGTTCATATATAATCATATCAAGTTATATATAATATATTTATATGTATGGAGGAAATATATTTATTATATATATATATATATATATCCCAGCAAACACCAATATATAATTGTTACATTGCTATAATAAAACGGAATATAACAGGTAATATAACGTGTACGTTACATGTAACATCCATGTTAGTTGTAATTTCTCACTCATAGATGTAACATTTTAATATAACATATATTACATTGTAGTTATATTGTAATTATATGCCAAATAGCACATTGATGTATTGATAAGTCAGTGCTATCTTGGGATATAATGATAATATAACTACAATGTAATATATGTAATATTAAAAATGTTACATCTATGAGTGGGAAATTACAACTAACATATACGTTACATGTAACATGCTTAAGTATATAACATTTATATATTGTGTTTGCTGGGATATATATATATATATAATATAATATAATTATATATTTATTTATTTATATATTTATATATATATATATATATATATATATATATATATTATATATATATATATATATATATATACAGGGTGTCCCATTTAACTTGAGACAACTAAATATTTCGAAAAATAAGCATTGTACGAAAAAATGTCCCAAATAAACTTTTAACATTATCAAGGGGGACGTCTGCCTGTGTAAAAATTAACCCACCCCCACCGCCCCTTAGGGGTGGGGCGGGTGTCAACTTTGAAATTTTAAATGGGTACCCCCATTTTTTATTGCAGATTCGGATTCCTTGGAAAAAAATACGTAAGTTTTGTCCGAGACATTTTTTCGAATCGTGATAGATGTAATCAGTAAAAATTAGTTTTTGCCATTTTCTCTCACCATCGGGGTGCTTTTATTTCGGTGAGTCCCCTCGCCTCTCACCATCGGGGTGCTTTTATTTCGGTGAGTCCCCTCGCCTCTCACCATCGGGGTGCTTTATTTCGGTGAGTCCCCTCGCCTCTCATCATCGGGGTGCTTTATTTCGGTGAGTCCCCTCGCCTCTCACCATCGGGGTGCTTTATTTCGGTGAGTCCCCTCGCCTCTCACTATTCAATTACAATAAATGCATTTATTAACTAAATAATGGAACGTATTAGATATGCTTGCGCACAAATAACGCCAGATACACTTTCTACATGTGTACAAGCATTCCAAGGTCGAGTTAATAAATGCATCGAAATGGAAGGTCATCATTTCGAGCATTTATTGTAATTGAATAGTGAGAGGCGAGGGGACTCACTGAAATAGAGCACCCCGATAGTGAGAGGCAAGGGGACTCACCGATATAAAGCACCCCGATGGTGAGAGGCGAAGGGACTCACCGAAATAAAGCACCTCGATGGTGAGAGGCGAGGGGACTCACCGAAATAAAGCACCCCGATGGTGAGAGGCGAGGGGACTCACCGAAATAAAGCACCCCGATGGTGAGAGGCGAGGGGACTCACCGAAATAAAGCACCCCGATGGTGAGAGGCGAGGGGACTCACCGAAATAAAGCACCCCGGTGGTGAGAGGCGAGGGGACTCACCGAAATAAAGCACCCCGATGGTGAGAGGCGAGGGGACTCACCGACATAAAGCACCCCGATGGTGAGGGGCGAGGGGACTCACCGAAATAAAAGCACCCCGATGGTGAGAGGCGAAGGGACTCACCGAAATAAAGCACCCCGATGGTGAGAGGCAAGGGGACTCACCGAAATAAAAGCACCCCGATGGTGAGAGGCGAGGGGACTCACCGAAATAAAAGCACCCCGATGGTGAGAGAAAATGGCAAAAACTAATTTTTACTGATTACATCTATCACGATTCGAAAAAATGTCTCGGACAAAACTTACGTATTTTTTTCCAAGGAATCCGAATCTGCAATAAAAAATGGGGGTTCCCATTTAAAATTTCAAAGTTGACACCCGCCCCACCCCTAAGGGGCGGTGGGGGTGGGTTAATTTTTACACAGGCAGACGTCCCCCTTGATAATGTTAAAAGTTTATTTGGGACATTTTTTCGTACAATGCTTATTTTTCGAAATATTTAGTTGTCTCAAGTTAAATGGGACACCCTGTATATTATATATATATATATATATATATATATATATATATAATATAATTATACGAATTATAAAAAGAATATATTATAAATGTTTTTATAATTAAATTAATAATATTTACAAATATATATTATAATTTATTAATCTTAAAATTAATATTAATTATTATATATTATTAGTAATTAATATAATATTCATATGATATAAATAATAAATATCATCATCTTCATCACTGCTAGATGATGATGAAGAAAGCAAATCTAACAGTTTAAACATTAATCGTGCATCCCACGCAGCCATATTGATTGCACTAAACTGGCACCGTCTCTCAGAGCTCGTGCCGAATTCTTGCACTAAAGTGCGAAAACTCGGCACTAGACTTTCCAGTGAAACAGCACGCACCGTTTTCATGCGCACCGAAATGCCCAGTGAAACACGTTGCCCATGACGAGTGCGCACTCAGTGCGCACTAGTTCTCCCAGTAAAAAACGCTATCAGTTCACACGAACACTGGACAAGTTCCATGGGTTGCACTGAATAGTGCAGGTGAAAAAGAACACGCCGAAATTTTCAGTGCCACTTGAGTTGACTAGATTCCGGGAAGAACGAAAAAGTAACCTCGACATCTTGTGTTCAGTTAAGTAATGATTTTTATTATATGTAATTAAATATAGAAGATGATCAAGAATATCACGTATGACAAATATAAAAATTATTATTATTCAGTATAAAAATGCTATTACATTAAGTACATTAATTATATTTAAAAAAGGGTATAGGTTCGATGTTTATATAAAAAGATATAACACTTACGGTGTCATTATCCATTTTTTTCACACATTCTACATAATTTACAGTTTTTGGAATTATTCTTCTAGTTCGAAGAGTTGTAATTATTTCTTCTTGCTCGCTTGAACTAGAAGAAGATTCCAAAAATGTCTCCAAAATATTAAAGAGAGCCAAATCCGAATTGCTCATTATGTCGAATTTTCGTTCAAAAGAATGCTCTACTGCTTGCATGCATCCAGTGCACTGAACTGGCACCGTCAAAATATCTCGTGCCACTTAGTGCGCACTGAGTGCGCACTATGCGAGTGTTGTGCGTTCAAACGAACACGCAACACTAGCCAAGTGCGCATTGGCACTACCAATGAACACGCGCCTGACATTCAGTGCAGCCAGTACACCCCAATCGAAAACGCTATAACTATTTCCCAATCGAAAACGCTATTAGATAGTTCAGCTTGCGGCGCATAGTGGTGTGGTAAATGAAAGAACTATATGTGATTGCATTATAAGCAGTAATATTTTGCAATGTCTCCAATAAAATAATAACTTATTATATTTGCACAATATTGCTGCAATATTTGTAATATGGCACAATATTGAAATATTTATGCAATATTTTAGTAATATATTTCGTGTTGTAGGGGTTACGATATTTTAAAAATATGATATATTAAAAAAAGTCATTTAAGTATGTAAATAATCTTCAAATTGTAATATCTGAGCACACATTTTTCATCATACGTATATAACTTGTGCTCATTGATATTTATTATCATCATTGAAATCTAATTATCAGGCATTGCTATCTGGGATATTCTGACTTCTATTACTCGTCACGTGACACAGTTTAGTTTGCGTTTATCCGACAAGAAAGGTGGAGCTAAAAATTGTTATTACATTTCTAAGCGAGGAGATAACACATCCTTTTTTTGACATCGTACATTACAAAGTAAGCGAAAAACACAAATTCACGTTTCAGCAAATTGGCATGTAATATATAATATAATTAGTACATAATAAATAATGATATATCAGGGCAGTGTTCTCCAAAATTCATTGCCAGCGCTGAAAATCTATAGTTTACGTTACGTATATTATAGATATTTTTCAGGTTAAAAATAATTTACGTATCGTTTTTTGGTGACTACATTATTTATATATGCATACTAATGAGTATTTTAACATATCGCAAATTTAGTCTTAAAGTATATATTTAAAGAAATCTTTATCAAAATTATATCTATATAATATCTACATCTATATAAAAATATAAATAATAAATAATATAAGAATCTCTCTCTAAAAAGAATTTAGAAGTTTATTATTGTGCATTTATTATAATTTACTTATTTTGCAGCGTAATTACAGAAAACAGTTTTTAAAAAATCTCAAAAAATGCAACGTCTAAGAATTCAAGTTGTTCGTAATATCTTGGGTACCAAGATGTATGCTACTGTACCTAAACAGGAGCAAGTGGTGTCCGCTACATTTAAAGTTCAAGATCTTAAGGATTTTGATGAACGTGTAAAAAACTCCAAAGTACCTGTTATCGTGGACTTTTTTGCAACGTAAGCATTATGCAACATTTGTAATTTTAATTATTTATATAAAATATTACATTCTTATTTAGATGTAAAGAATAAAAAAAATAATATACCTGTTACTTTAGATGGTGTAATCCATGTCGTATGTTGACTCCGAGAATAGAAACAGTTGTTGCTGAGAAACAAGGAAAAATCCTACTGGCCAAAGTTGATATCGACGAGAATACAGACCTTGCTCTCGATTATCATGTAAGGGTTTTTGCAATAGCCATGTAATTAGGTGCTATCTACATCTCGACCCCTTTTTTTACATGCAAGCTTATTTATTTTGATGTATTTTACAAGAACAAAATTTATCAATAAGGGATCAAGAGCCTTAATAATATGTATACTTGAATTGATCATTTAATCATATATAAATTTCCAGGTGGCTTCTGTACCTGTTCTCATTGCTATGAAGGATGGAAAGGTCCTAGAAAGAATAGTTGGTCTTCAAGACACCGATAAACTTAGACAATTTGTTAACAAATATACAGAGTAATGTAGCTTAAAATCTTGTAAATTATTTATAGTATAATGCTTTAAGATGACTACAATTTAATTCTTATACAGAGAATTTCTATGTAATGCTTTGTCTTTTGCAATTACATTTATAGTGATTTTCCTTAATTGTTGAATAAATAATATTAACAGGTTTATCTTTCAAATTGTACAAATTAAAAGATTTTGACTAGTAAAATATTATACACTGCATTTTTCAAATATACACATTCTTTCTATAAAAAATCAATTAATTTTATTTTTAATTTAATATATAAAGTAATTAATTTTAGTGTAATTTCCAACTAGCAGCTACATACTTTATCTTAAACAACTATGTATTTACTTAACACTAATTGATACCTCTTCTTTTTTTGTGCATAAAAGTATAAAAGTAAAATCGACGGAAAATGAATGTTTTATATTTCACATAGTTTATGTAAAATATAAATATAAAATATCTCCTAAACTATTCACTTTTTGATCCTCATAACTTTTTATAGTGAATATTGCAAGGAATCGATTTATATAAAAAATTATATACTAATATCACTAATAAAAAAAGAATCTTTCTTGCAAAGGTCTATCAATTTTTTTTTAAATAATAATCTTGAGTACGATTTTTTAATACTTTTTTTATTGATAAAATTTTTTTTAAACTTAAAACTATCTATCAGTTGGTAAAGCTTGTAAAAGTTGTCTCGCTCGTTTGTAAGCAACCGATTCTATAATTTCATTTTCATTTTCATTATCTCTTTTTTCTTCAGCCTTTCTTATAATTTCCATTCCCTTTCGTAATAATACTTCACGTGCCATGCCTTTACAACCCTCAAAATATTCAAGAACAAGAGGAAAACTTGTATCAGGAATAGAGTTTTCGTCCAATAAATTATCCATCAGCCAAATCTGTTTGAGCTTCTCGAATTTCCATTCGGTTCTTGAATGTTTCCACTGCAAAAATGCAATTATATCAAAAATTTTGAAAAATTTTATAAATCGCTAAGTTACTTATGATTATTTATACATGTACAAGGAATATGTTCACGCGCGTTTATCTTATATCTGTAATTGAATATAAAAAATTTTAACGATTTTACTAATAACTTACCATAGATATATAATTCAATGCCTTCTGCATGGCATTTATCCTACTACTTTCCTTTTTCTGATTAACCTCGTGAATAGCCCGTTGAATGGCCTTTTCTCGTTTTAACTGCCTTTTAGATGGTTTTTCTGGAACCTTTGCCTTCTCATTAGTCTCTTCTTTTGAGATATTTGTTTCAGCAGGAATATTGCTGCTTTAAAAAATGAATTAAAGTTTAAATCTTTAATAGTTATACTTTTTGTGTCGCTATTTTTCGTATTAATTATATAAAAAATTAATATTTTATTACATAAAAAAAATTTTTTTTAATTACAATTTTCATAGTTTATAAAAAATTTTTACAAAAATTAATTTAAAAAAATTTTTTAATGTATATTATGTAGTATAAAATGTATATTGTGTATTAATGTATATTAACTTTGTCTCAATTTATGAGCTTTATCTTTTTATTGATATATATATATATATATATATATATATTTGTTTTTTTTATGTAAAAATAATTTTATATATAGTGCTGATAGTGATGAAATTTAAAAACTTTTTACCTAAATTGTTTCAGTTGCTTTAACGAATCCTCATTTTCTTGCACTGGGGATTTCCTTTTCTTTTTACCTGTTTTTTTCTTTTGTATATTTTCTTGACATGTTTTGTCTGTTTTGTAGTAATTATCTGTGCTAGCATCTGAAAAATTTGTTGTATAATATTATTACTATTAATATATTTATTAGTAATTACATATTTTATTATTTTTGAAAGAGATGGTTAAACTTTATTCTTATTTTAATTTTATTACTTATAAGACTCACGTTACTATTAGGATGATATAAATATTCCACTATTCTTCAAAAATAATATAACGTATATGTTTATTTTTAAGATATTTAGACATTTGTACAAGAATTATCACATAAATTAAATAAATAAATAAATTAATTGAATCGTTAAAAACTTACCGTTTCTTTTTCTCTTCTTTTTATACCGTTTGATTTTCCTAATTGTTTAAACTGCACTTTTATACCACTTTCGGTGTCCATCTTATATTAAATTGATATTATTTAATTCGAGCTAATATACGCAATTAATCATATTGTAAAATATATCGTAATAAATCTGTTGTAATAAATCATTCAAAAATTAAAAGGGACCAAACAACACCTAACCTAAACTAACTTAACAGAACATACATTTAATATTTTAATAATTAAAAAATTACTGATTGGATTTCTGTATTTTTGGCGTATATTACTATTATTATATATAATACGTTATTGCAATACACTTGAAAAAGACCAAAATTATGATCGAACCGTGAGATTTATTAAATAAAGAATTGCCAGTATTGGTCGAGAAATATTTATTCCTTTAATAATTAATTATATAATTATAATTGAGATTTTTATGAATATTTAACATACCAAGTAGATTTTTAATTTTTTTTTTGCTTTTTTACACCTCTAATTTTTCAATTTAGGTACAAAAGTTACCTCGTGTTTAACCTTCCTCCAAGGAAACAAAATAGACACAGAAGTGATGCAATTGGCTATCGAATGGAGAATTTCTAAAGTCCCTAAAATTGTTCTATTTGATGACCAATCAATGTAATGTGTTTATGTTTTTTTTCCAGAAGCAGATATGTATCCATTACCACCGAGCCTAAAAATGATCCTTTCTTTCTCAGAAAACACATTATTAACATCTAACAAGGAAATGAATACCTGTTTCAAGATTGGAACCTATAAATAATCCCAATATACATCACAGAAAGATAATCTGGCAGCATAAGCAGCATCCAACAAATGGTTGAACCTTACTCAAAAAAAGAAAAAGAGGAAAAAGAAACAAGGGAAATGTGTATATTTGTCATATGCTTGTCAAATTATTATAACAATGCATTAATGTCAGATATGATTAGTTGTATATAGTTTTTGACAATAAAATGACAAACAACTTATTAATTTTTATTCCACAAGGATTGTGTACCGAACAATCTGGCTATGTACTTGGCAAAGTGGTATATGATGCACATAGTAACTTGAAAAAATTTTATATTATTAGTTTGCATAAAGAAGGAAGGAACTCCTCAGAATTAACAAAATGTACATTAGACACTATTGGATATTACTCCAATATAAACAATGAGGCCAAAGAATTTTGGAACCATAAACATTTAGACTGGGTATACATTACAAGGATAGAACAAAGTTTCAAGACTAAACAGAATGCGTATTATCTGACAAATATCATTCTTAACAATAGAACAGTAGATCTGTCAACAACATGTGCAACAATTGTTTTGTACGATCACCAAGCATTGCGAGAAACAGAATTGTTTGAGAGCAAGGCTGCATCAGGCGATCATTTTTATGAGCTTGCAAAGCTGATACAAAACATGAAAGATGAATTGAGGATTAAATCTAAATTCGCGTGCATTTGGGAAATGCTGTTGACTTATTACATATTCTTCTACCTATATCCTGTTTTATGGCTGTCCAAAATAACAGAGAAATTATTGCCAGTCTTAAAGTACTCTTCCCTTGGTTTGCATGTTCACAGCTGGTTGGAAAATCTTAAATGGATGCTGATCACAATCTTGCACGACAAGAATTTTAAGCTGAAAACAGGAAATTATGCATTGGCAATTATAATAGATATAGCACTGGGAATCTTTGTATTAAGATTATTGCAATATTATATTGAGGACCAGCCATCACAACTACTTCTAAACAATGCAGAAGTAAATTTAAAGATTTATCTGAAGGAAATAAGCAAAATAATTCATTTTTAATTTATTTTTCTAGGAAAAATTCGATTTAATTTATCGCATCTTTAAGGGAAGAAAACCACTGTAGAAGCTGCAAAAATTAAGATTTCTTTGTGAATTTTTTTTATAAAGAAACACTATACATATAAATAAAATTCAGTTTTTCCGTGGTTTTCTTCCTTAAGTCAGATTTAATTTTACAATTAAAATAAATTAAATTTTATCCTTATTATATAAAATTGAATTAAACTCATGAGAGATATATTTTTTAATTCTATTATTTTTCTGTTATTATATTTTTTTTAATCTATTAATTATTATTATTTCTTATAGTTTCTATTTTTAATTCTTTTATTTTTACTTCTGCCACAGTTTTAATAGTTAAAATTTTTATTTCACAGATAGTTGTAGAAACACTGAGAGATCTAATTAATTGGTTGATGGGTGTACCAGCTGGACTGAAGCTTAATCATGCTCTGAATAATAGCATGGGCAAGTTCTTTTTGTATCACATACAACTCTGGTGGACATTTTGACCTTTCTAAAGCCGCTTCTAGACTTTGCATTTAAAATATTGCTTTTATTCGGAAGGTTGGGTGTAACATTTCAAATATCTATCATCGCGGATCTTTTAGCTCTTGTCAGCTTTCACACATATTGTATCTACGTTTATGCAGCAAGGTTTTTATATTTTTTCAAATATTTAATGATATAATTTAAAATAAAATTTATAATTTTTACCTCAATTTTAAAATAATTTAAGAGCCAACTTTATTGTAGACTCTTCAATATACAGTTGAGAGGAATCACGGCTCTTTTTAGACTATTTCTCGGGAAAAAGAAAAATCCTCTACGAGAAAGAGTAGACTCTTGTCAGTATCAAACAGATCAATTATTTGTTGGGACGCTATCATTTACAATTCTTTTATTTTTAATGCCAACAACTTGGGTATATTATACTGTATTTACACTGGTATGTAAGATAATCTATTTTGATTTTAACTTTCTTAAAATATTCCTTGAAATTAATTGCGATATTTATACAATAGCTCAGATTGGTATTAATAGGATTCGGTGGTTTTTTAACCAGATTGAAATTTTATCTACAAATTATGCCTGTTTATACTTTCTGGAAATGGTTATTGCAATCTCATAGCACATGTAGTAAGTAGCAATATCTATATATGTGTTGCGTTATGTGGAAAAAAGATAATTTTCTAATACATTATGAATATTATAAATGATTCTCCATAGGCACTGTTGATATCAGATTGCAATCTCATTGCATGAAAGGATTGACTATATTATCAATGACTATGGTTGTTGCTCCTTGGAGACTTACATGGAAAAAATGTATCGCAGACACAATTATTTGCCATCCGTCTATTGAATGGTACACAATATTAAACAATATTATATGGGGTAAATTATTATAAAATTATATAAAAAATAAAACCAGTATAATTACATATATATATATATATATGAAAGGAAAAAGTGTGTATGGAAAACAGTGTGGGACTGGTAAAGTATCTATAAGTAATAGAATTTTAAAAATATGTAATTTGCAATTATCAGCTACATATTTTTTTTTTTTTTATAATTATCTGTTTTTTTTACATCAATCAATTTCTTTCAATATTTTGTGCATAAAAATATGAAGGTAAGATCATCCAAAAATGAATATTTTATAGCTTATGTAGAGATATTTCATAGCTTATGTAAGATTGTATTAAATTAAATACAAAATATCTCGTAAACTATTTATTTTTTAACTATCCCACCTTTATAACTTTTTATGCAGAATATTGTGAGCTACAAGAATATGCAATAAAAAATAAGGAATTTTATTTAAAAAAAATTAAGTTGACCTCGAAATGGCCTCTAAATTTGACCCCTAGGTCAAAGTCAAGGTCACCATCAAGTGTCCTATTTCGAGCCCTACAACTTTTGTATTTAACATTTTTTCATAGGATCACTATTTTCGGAGATAATTGACTGTTGTCGGACTTTTAAACCACTCTGCATATATAAAATATACATATAACTATTTAAATTTTTTTAACATTTTGTACAAAAAAAATATATAATTACATATATATTTATATATGTAATATTGAAAAATTACTAAGTATATATATAATAATACTAAATATGTATAATAAAAAAAATTAGCATTTACCAAATCTATCTAGGGAAAAGTGAATATTAATTATATTATAAAGAACACATAACTATTTTATTAGCACAGACAAGAACACTACATAAAACAATTTAAGATAATATATTTAAATATTAGTTTTCTATTTTGTCGCAGCCTTTCTTTCTGCTAATTTGTTATCAAATTGCTTTAACGAATCTCCCAATTCATAACTAAGTATCAAATCAATATCATTTTCCTCTCTTAAAATGCAGAAATATATTAGAAAAACAGATATGCTGGCTAATACACTGTATGGTTGATACCATGGTACTGAATCTCCATATGGGTCACGATACTCGTTTATTTTCATTGTGGCAGCTCTTGAGGAAGAATATTTTATAGGTTGATCGGTGATATTCTTGTTATCAGTTTCTGATGTTCTATATTGCTCTTCAGGTGATGCCACGCTTTGTTTACTTCTAATATTAAATATTACCTGTGTGTGTGGTAAATTATTTCTGAAATAAAAGTCAATATATTTATATCATTATTTTAATAAAAGTAAGTTTTGTACTATAAAATTCTAAATATATTATACATACAATATAATTATGTATATAAAAATATAATAAGCAATATTGAATATGTGAGATTTTTAAGAAGTCACATAACCTTTTATCTAAATAGATAATTACTCAAAAAATGATATAATAAAATTAAAAGTTTTTCACATATTTGTAATTACCTTTTAAACAATATATTTTTATCTCGCAATATGAGAGAGAAAACATTTTTAATATTGCTTAACATTTGCAAACATGTAATATAGCATCATATAATATGAAATACATAGATGGGATCTTCTCTTCAATGAGGAAGGATTTCTCTTTGATAAGGAAAGATACTTCTTATTACTATGTTTATGGTGGAATTTAGAGCTCTTGTACAACAGGATTTGTCAACACATTACAAAAAAATCTTGGAAAAATTTTTGTATTGATTAAAAAATTTATAATTTTATTAGTTCTAGTAAATTTGCTCATTTTTTACAATTATCATTTTGTATAATATATCCCAAGTAACAAAGTGACAACTATTAATATTTTTAAATTGTATTATTAATTTTTGTGTTCATTTGTCATCAATTGTAATTATAAAAATATATTTCTATATAAAAATCAAAAATTTTTTAATATTTGCTATAAATTTTAAAAAAATTAACAAACAAAATTCTAATTTAATACAAATAATGTTTACAATTATTAATACAAATAATGTTTTAAAATTAACTTTTGATTTAACTTCAGTTAATTTAATCTTAATTTAACTTTACTGATGTAATTTTTGTTCATGCAACTTTTAACTTAAATAAATTAATTTTATAAGCAACCAACTTTTAACTTCACTTAATTTTAAATAATCATTACTATAAATCTGTTTGTTTTAGCTGAACTGGCTGCACACTAATTCAAGATTAATTTTTTTATTTAATATTGGAAAGAAAATAAAAATGCATCGATTAAATTCCTTGTTTTCGCAACAGAATCAAAATGATCCTGCGCTGATTGCTCAAATCTGAAATTTCGTTGAATTTTATTTGCGAAATATTTTATTCAATTAAACGATTATTGTATTTAATAATTTTATTTAATTAAACAAATTATTTAATTATTTATTTAATAATTTCATTTAATTAAATCATTATTTAATTAAAACGACAAACCCATAGATTTTCAGCGTTGGCGATGAATTTTGGACATACGGGCATGTTATTTGCGCTTAAGTTTTCTCGTTTGAAAGCTTCATTGTGGATCGGCTTTTAGAGTGCGCGTATATCGACACGGTATTGGATGCTCCCATTGGCCAGGTTCTCGAGTAGCGCATGCGCGGAAACGCGCAACGCCGAGCGCACTGCCACAGGCACGCTCAATAAACGGCGCTAGTGTTTGTCAAGTGTCATAGCCGTTCCCATCGGCCCCGACAGTGTTGCGAGACTAAAATCGGTGATTTAATTAGGAATAACGTACCTCTTTTTTTTTTAGTAAAATTGTGAAACTTTAAGCAATAATGACCGACAAGAAAGGTAACTATATGTCATAATCATGCGTTATTGTTCGTTCCGTGTAATATATATATATACTGATCAGTGTGAGGGAAATATACAGACACATATGCATATCGACGCGCGTTACATACACGTATACATACGCGCACGTACACACATATAACGCATACGTACACACATATAACGCATACGTACACATATATAACACACACATACACATATACACTACGAAACTCTCGTTGAGATAAGCCGTGTACCTTCACCACTTATCAATCGACGGGACGCCAACGTCGACGCGACTCCTGGTGCGAGACGGTCCACGGCGCGGCCCCTGGTGTTGCTTGACCCTAGCACGTTAAAACCCAGGCGCCGGCATGGATCGCCCGAGTGCCTGGCCTGAGTTGACAGAACAAATCAATACCGCACATCGCGCTGGGTGTACAAAATGGCCTCCGGAGACTTGTTCATTCTCTTTCTTTCTTTCAGCAGAGAAAGAAAGAGAGAGGGAGAGAAAGAGAGAGAGTGAGAGAGAGCGAGAGAAAATATTTTTTCTTAGTTAAGCTAAATTATTTTCATGGATTATCAGGTTTTGCCCTTTTGAAATTCTTATCCTTAAATATCTCTCTGATCCTTAAATTCCAAGCTTCGAAATCCTGCATTCGGAAAGTTTTGGTCTTGTATTCGCGAAATATTTTTTGGAAAAACTTACACTTTTGAATTAATTAAATTTCCAAATAATTGATGGGCACTCTTAATTTTTTTAGAAAATAGGGGAGAGAGAGAGAGAGAGAGAGAGAGAGAGAGAGAGAGAGAGAGAGAGAGAGAGAGAGAGAGAGAGAGAGAATATTTTTTCTTAGTTAAGCGAAATTTTTTTCACGGATTATATATATATATATATATATATATATATATATATATATATATATATATATATATATATATCAGGTTTTATTCTTTCGAAATTCTTATCCTTAAATATCTCTCTGATCCTTAAATTCTAAGCTTCAAGATTTCGAAATCCTGCATTCGGAAAGTTTTGATCTTGTATTTGCGAAATATTTTTTAGAAAAACTTACGCTTTTGAGTTAGTTAAATTTCCAAATTAATAATTGTTGAGCACTCTTAATTTCTTTAGGAAAAAGGGAGAGAGAGAGAGAGAGAGAGAGAGAGAGAGAGAGAGAGAGAGAGAGAGAGAGCGAGCGAGCGAGAGAGCGAGAGAAAATATTTTTCTTACAAATTTTTTTCGCGAATTACATATATATCAGGTTTTAACTCTTTCGAAATTCTTATCCTTAAATATTTCTCTGATCCTTAAATTCTAAGCTTCAAGGTTTCGAAATCCTGCATTCGGAAAGTTTTGATCTTATATTCGCGAAATCTTTTATGGAAAAACTGATGCTTTTGAGTTAGTTACATTTTCAAATTAATAATTGTTAGGGGCACTCTTCAATTTTTTGTAGAACGAAAGAAAAGAAAGAGGGGAGAGACGAAGAGAGAAAGAATATTTTTGAGAGTTATAAGATCCTTTCTCGGATCATCAGGTTCTTTGCTCTTTGCAAATCTTTATATCTTTTTAGATCTCTTTGAATCCTGCTCTTTATTACTTTCAACGTTTCAAAATCCTGCATTCGAAGATTCTTGATTTTGTATTTGCGAAATATTTTTAATTCTTTATACATGTTCTTAAATTATTTAAATTTGCAAATTTATATTGTTTTTGACGTATTTATATTTTTTATATTTATAAATTGTTAATTGTTGGGAACTCTTAAATTTTTGAAATTCTAATTTCTTATGCTATTTTCAATCATCTTTTTAAATAGATAAATTAACTCAATTTCTAATTGAATTATAAACTTTTTTTTACTAATTTATGAATCCTTGATTTTGTTACTAATTTATATTTATACTTTTTATCCTTAAGTTCCTAACTCTTTAATTAACTTCTTATTTTTAGATATTGACAATTTTTCTGAAAATATTTTAGACAAAAAATTATTTTCGAGAAACGTATAAAATACTAACTTTAGTTTGGCTTTGAAATAAAAAAATCAATCTGTTTTGAATATGAGAAACTTGTTAAATTATCTTAGCATGGTACAAAACTATATATCAAGCAATTTAATAATCAAATTTTTTATTTAACAAAAATGCAGATGAACAAAATTGATTATTAAGATGTTTTATAATTTTTATATATTGTGCTAATAAAATTGACAAGTTTCTTCTATTTAAAAAATTTGATTTTTTATAAATTCTATTTATTTCCAATAATAGTCGAATAGTTTCAACTTTTTAATCGTCATCCTACATATATACGCATACATATTTACATATAAATTTTAAAACAGTTCCGACAGTTTAAAATAAAATTTTATATAAAAAATTAATCTGTTTACCGCAAACTGTCATAAAAAATTTGAAATGTTTTTATTTATGAAAATGCCAGTTATTTTGAATTTTTTAAATAAAATCATATTTTCTTATATATAAATCGATTCCTCACAATATTTTGCATAATGAGGATAGGATGGTCAAAAATTGAATAGTTTATGAGATATTTTATATTTTACTAACAGAATCTTATATAAATTATGAAATATCGTAAAATGCTCATTTTTCGAATAATCTTACCTTTTAATATCTTTATGCACAAAATAAGAAATCAATTGGTGTAAATAGTTTTTTTTTTTTTTTTTTTTTAAGAAAAATATATAATTATTAGTTATAAATTACATACTTTTGCTCACAAACAACTTAATAAAAATGCCAAAAAAATTTGTTTCTTTAAAATGGACATTAACAAGAATTTTTTAAAAGATTTTAATATCTGTAATTTCAAGATTATTAAACCTATTTTAAATAATTTACACTTTTATCGACCCAATATTATATATAACTGACATTGAAACAAATTCAATCTACTACAATATGACCTAGATGATAAAGACGAAAAATATTCGTTTAAATCTATTTCAAGATATATAATAAGAAAGATAGAATAGTTACGATATTTTGTACGATACTATGTATATAGTGAGAATTAAAAAAATTGTAGCACATTTAAATAAAATAAACATTTGTTTAAAAGTGAATTAAAAAGTATAGAATAAACATTTCTTATAAGACTTTTGTTGTGTAGTTTTATAATAGAGGCTATGAAAGAGAAAATTGAATAAACTTTCTTAATTACTTAATAACTTTAAAGATCAAAAATTAATAACATATTTTGTCTTTTCTTAAATTTGAATAATATTTAACTCTTGTATTATACATTGTCGAATTTATTTCGATATATTTAAAGGAATATGCTATCGAAAAAACAAAAGTAATCTTAATATTTTATATTCTGTGTTATATACAGGGTGTCCAAAAAATCGCCTATCATACTTCGGGAGGTGATTCGGAACGAAAAAAGAAGAAAAAAATATTATATAAACATAGATTCCGAAATAAGTCGTTTCCGAATTATAATAAAAAAAAATTTTTAAATAAAAAATTTTAATTTAAGAAAAAATTAAGAAAGAGCAATGCCAAGCGGACTACAAATTTTAAATATAAAAGTGGTTATAACTTGGAAACAACTTATTTTCAGACCTATGTTTATATAACAATTTTTTCTTCTTTGTCCCGAATCATCTCGCGAAGTATGGTAAGCGATTTTTCGGACACCCTATATATATAAAAACACATATTTCTCTTCTTCAATAATTTAAATTATTTTTTAGACCATAAAAATCATATATATTAAAAAAATTTCTTTATATATTAATATCGAAACAAAATTAAACAATGATATAAGATTGACAGAAATCAAATTTAAAAAAGAGTAAATATGTTATTAATTTTCCAATAGTTAAAATTAATTTTTTCAAAAACGAATTTCTTCAAATGCGAAATAGAAAAAAATTATTTTTCTTATTTTGCACAAGAAATCAATTCTATTTTAATTGTGCTATGATTTCCAATTAATCTTGTGTGTGTGTGTGTGTGTGTGTTTTTGTGTATGTGTGTGTGTGTATGTTATATAATCACGAAATCATACATTGTTAAGTATCAAAATATTAAATTGTATACTTTTTTCTCAAAATAACACATGTACGTATAAAAATGAGTTTTAAACTCAAATTATTCAACAAAGATTTTACAAATACAAAATTATAACATTTTTTGGTTCTTATTAACATGATATTCGATACGTTGGAGCTCTCCGGAGGTCATCTCTTGGTATTACTCAGTGGTATATTTACAGAGATGTGTGCAGCGGCTGATTGCAAAAGTAAGAAATGTATAAACGCATCAAAGAAAGAGAGAAAGAGAGTATATAATTATACAAAAGACTCATAGAATTTAAGACTTAAAGTTTGCCAAATAGTTTCGTTCGATAACGATCGAACAGACACTACAGAATTCGAAGCGATCGAGTCCCATTTAAGTATTTTTGTTTGTTTGCTCAAGCTGTTCCAGGCTCATCTTCATCTCGGGATCCGTTTTGTTCCTCTTGCATGATATGGAACGAGATCCAAAAACATTCCTAGAACAGCTTTGGCGGAAATTGATTTTCATATATAAGTGCCGTAATTAAAAAAAATAGTAACTTCGACGGTGCAACATTTCGTTATCAGGTCTGGTCTATATGGGAACAAGCAGTCCCACATAACCCTCGCTCTCTACCCGGGGAGCGAGTGGTATCTCTTAGAGATTTTCCCAGCGCAAAAAAAAAAAGAAAAAGGTTTGGTCTATATCCCTGTATACAGGTGCTGCGCTCTATATTAAAAGAGCACAGTATTTTAAGGACACGATAGAACTTAATCCTAAGTAAGTGGAAAAGCTGAGATGCGCTTCTTATCATAATAATATTATATTAGTAATGTGAAGACACGGCGGCAAGCGTATACTTGCTCTCTCTCTGCGAGTCTGCTACCATTTATATATGTATGGCAGTGTAGCAGTTGAGCGCGGAAGGATAGCGCCTACAGTTTGGCTGTCAATATGTTTGCAGCGGACCATTACAAAGACGATTTGATCCCAGTCAGTAGGTGGAGCTCCGGAGATCGGCGCAGCCTAAGCCACGTATCTAACCTCACCTTACTCTATATATTACCTTAACTCACTACGTGTTTATACCAACATATATTACGTACACACACAACACACACACGCACGTATATATGTGCATATATAAAACATATATATATATATACGCATATATATGTATATATTACTTATTATATATACGCTGAAATCGCTGAGACTAATGCAAAGAAACCGATTGCTTCTGCCACTGTATCAGATATTCTTTTTTTGTATTATAAGGACAAAGTATGGCTAAAAATTCAAAAAATTACTAATTAAGATTCTTTATTATCGCCAGTCAAAGAATTAAAGAAATAAATAATTCTCAACCAATACTGGCTATTGACGTTTATTTAATCAATCTTACGCAACGTTTTGACCATAATTTTTGTCCTTTTCAAGTGT